ATGATTCGGGTAGTTGCAATTGTTACGGACACGTTTTCTTTTAATACAGGCATGTCTAGAGAGGTACCAATCAACATTGACAATCACACAAATTTCCCTTACATTTCATTTCATTGCGCCCGAAAAAATCGGCGTACTATTGAGCACTGCCTTACATATGTCCATAGCCATGAACTAAAGAAGTTTGTATATTATATTTTACTTAGAATCTCAACATTATCGGCTAATCAATCCGAGAATCATGTGACGTGTTATGGTGTTTTTCTCGTTGATTGTGTTAACGGTGTGCATACAGGTCATAAGGACGCCGTCACATATTCGCCGAATCACGCCGATCTCACCAATTTATAAGCTTGCAAATTAGGTGAGATACTTGGGAGCAGAAATGTGCGCAAACTACTCATATTTATACACAGGAAAGGTAACTGCACTTCTGATTAAAAAAATAATATAAAGAAACCGTGATACGTATGCCACATAAATACCTCGGTGAAAGTGATTGGTGTGTGTGGAAAAGTGACAGTTTAAACCCAAACCCTGTAAAATTACGTAAAAGTACTCAGTAATGTGTGTATCTTTACACTCCCGCTACTTTTTTCTTTTACGGGAATTGGCATGACTTTGTGAAGAGGACTGCAATGACTTTAATTGTACCATCAACGTTGAAGTGTGTAGTCAAGCAACTTGCCTGGTTTTGACGTGTCACCGAATGAGTTAGATCACATATCTTTTCACTGGCGTTAATAATAATTGTGTTCTACATGTGTCATGTACCAGGGCAGTTATTACTTGTTTTTGGCGACATCATCGGACTTAAAAACTGGCTTCAACCTAAAATTAGTTTACATTGGAATAGTTAAAAGACCTTCCCTAAGACTGACGTCTCAACATTGGAACCAGGTGTCCGAAATGAGTAAGCATTCCTTGCTGACTTATATTCATTTCAAGTAATAAAGATCTATATATCATAAGTGATTTATATTAAGTCGTAATGTCTCGCATAGTTTCCTTGACAGACAAGTCTTATTTGCTAATTATCTATTCGTGTTTTTAAAAAAGGTTTTAACCAGTCTGTTTTTCGATTAATCTTGCATCACTAGGTTTGCAACTAGTGAGATATATCGTAAATCGTCATATGACAGACATGCTCTGCATAGTTTTTAAAAGATGGGAAATATGTGAACCATTAGCTGTAGCTGGGAGAATGTTACTTGAAACATACCGACGGAAAAAAATAATCTTTCCGCTTATCATACAGCTTAGGTATGCAAATATAAGGTTTAATTAGGAGGAACATTTCAATGTACGAACATTGAGTAACACATGGAGTTGTGGTACTTGATCAAAAAAAAGATTTTGACAGAATTCACCAAGCATATCGTTTTATGCGCTCTGTTTCTTTTGGTCGATGTCTTATTTCATATCACACGGGTTCATTATCTGGTAATTCTTTATCTCTAAATGCCACAGATTTAATCATTGCAGTAAAATTAATATGTTCTTTATCAAAGTTAGCTCCCACTAGACAAAAATACATCTAAATTCTCCAAGGCATTGTATTGCTAATGCATATGAAGATGATGTTGTCACTTTGATTAATCGTTTCAATCGGAATACACCTTCTGTATGTAGTTAACATTACACATTGTTACTCGTTTTCTCGCACTGACAGCGGCAAACATATTAATTGTATCAGTGTGGATTAAAAAGCTTTGGATTTTATTTTTCATTAAATATTTATGTCTGGGTCTGTGTATATATATATAATGAGCGAAGACGCCACGGGAAAATGTAATTGACATGTAAATGGGAATTATGATTATAGCTTGATGTGTCTATGGCATAATAACGTGAATGATGGACAATGTAGCGTGTATGCATTGTATATAACACGATTTAAAACTTGATGGGGGTCAGTTCAGTGGCTTTACGAACTTTAATGTACAGATATAATGTGTCTGAAATCACGAAACAAATATTTGGGACGTTTTACCCGATCATCTGTCATTATTCAATCAGAGCGGCCATGTTTCCGGTGTTAATCCGCAAATCTAAAGTAGATTTGTAAGTACATGAAGGAAAATAACATGCATTTACCATTTCTATCACATTTGGGTCTGCCCCTTTAGTCAACAGCTTTCTTGCCAGATCTGTATCACCATTTTCAATTGCTATTTTCATCTTCGAGTTAATAATATCTTCGGATGACTTCATCTTATCGATTCCTATTGAAGATCACATTTTTTTCTTGGTACGATAAATAATCTATGAACAAATGCAACAGATAATGGTCGGTAAAGGTATTTAGATAAACAAGATAATTTTAATAAATATTATTACAAAATGCAGTTCCCTATTAACGAGAAAGACAAATAATACAAACAAATGCACGGGTATATATGTATAACAAACTAGAACATAAATAGATCATACCATAAGGGGAAGCTTTTATTCTGTGTATATGTGTCTACACAAGAGTAATGCAAAAGTCATGTACACACATAACTCACTTATGCTTGTGTATTGCTTACTATTGTTTAAGCTGGCAGAGAGGCATATTGGTTTCCATGGTGATATCGGAACAGGTCGACTAAGAATGGCTAATGTAGTATTTATGCTTATGCATCACTGTGCATTTTCAAAAACAGAAAATGCTATCCCGTGAAATGTACCATCGTGCGAGAAAATGGATAAGAACATCCATGACCTTCTACCTACAATAGATGGACTATTAACAGTCTGTTTGGCACGTAATGTGGTTGTTAAGAACATTACACTGATGGTGAGTTGTCAGCATCGAAATTGTGAATGAACTAAGAGTGGTTGGGTATCTTTAGGGAAAACTACAGCTGTACATAAAAGCAGCATTGTCAGTTGTATTTATACGAATTATCGTGATTAACGGGAAGAGGTAAACGCTTGCAATGCTCACGGAACATATAGAGTATATTGCGAAGAACATTAAAACATTGTCTAGTTCTAAGTGTGTTTGAACACACGTTACTCCACAGCACATGGTGATAGTGTTACGCTGCAATCGCTATTGTAAGTCATCTAATTAGTACAGTGACGTAACTTTACGGTTTACATATATCGCCAAGGGCAGTGGACATTCTTTAAATTCACGTTTACAGATATCATCAAATTAGATTATCAAATACGACTTAACTTGATCATAACTCATTTGTGGTTGCCATGGTTACAAAATAACGATTACAATTGTCATTATTAACTATTTCATTGAATCGTTGCGCAACTGTCATTTTGTTCAACATGGGCCCATTGGGGTATAGAAAGATTGGTACCTGTTGTAAATTGCTTGGACCTTTCAAGTGCGAACGCGGCAACAATCTCGAATACCGCAATGTCCCATTAGTTCAATTCGTTCAGTCTTTAGACTCCTTGAATCAATTCGCACAGTATCCGATTTATTATCATCATGGAATATTTCATTTGTAAAATTTACATGAAATCAAGCGTGAGAAATGAATAATGTTTTCCAATAAAATGTTACACATAATATAACAGTAATCATAAACTAGGTGGGAACGGCATTTAATGACATTATATGTTATTTTCGTCTTGATATGAGTAGCGTGTGCTATTTGTCTAAAAGATAGATTATTTGGTGTGGTTAATGACAAGCTTATATACTGGATACTAATACTAAGGGGAGTAACACATTAGATATAAACACTGCAGAGATCAACTCATCCAGCCAAATCTTTGGGCTAGTGGAAACAAACATAGCGGCAAAACAGAGAAAAAAGTAATTAATTAAAAGTAATGAATACATATATATTCAACCGTATGAGCAATTAATCACGGTAATTGGCAGAAAAGGGACAAAAAATAGAAGCTATTGTAACGAATATTTAAATAAATATTAACATATCAACATGAATAATTATCGTTTATTAATTTTAAATAAAAAGAAAATTAGCTGCTTCAAGCAAATGATGGTTAAAAGAACATTTGAACCCGACTTTAAGTGTTTAATAGAATAAAGCAGATTGTTCCACAGATGCACTATAGATTGAGGTAACTAAGTCTGGGTTATTTTCATATTAACAGCTGATACAATGAAATTATCATTGGGTGATGACCTAATACAATACGTATTATGTGAATATATTGGTTTAGAGTATGTGCAGAACGTCGATGTTTAACACACCCACTCGCATTTTACAAACTTGATAAATGCCCGACATTCGCAGTTCATGGACAACATATTTCAATACAGTATGTCAAATGAGACAAACTTAATAATCAAGCATTATCGAGGACATTCAAATTAAGTTGGGATTTGTCGGATATGAAAAAAATCAATTCGTAATGGCAAAACTAACTTGAAAATATTAGATGAATTGCATATATCGTGAAAGAAAATTAGAAAAAGCAGAGAGTCCAAGCTGAAACCCCGAGGGCATCAGCATGAAATGTGTTGGCGATCCGACAAACTTCCATTTACATGAACGTTATGTTTCCGTGATGGTAATTGCACCTCGAAAACCATCGCGTTCCAATTTGCACCTCCTGTTCAGTTCAGCAATATCGTTCGTTATATTTACCAAGGTTATTTTTGCACGAAAGCAGAAGTAAGTTTTGGTTATAATGTCGAAAAAAAACAGCTTCTTATGACCAGGAGATTCGAATATTCTAGTAAAGACAGGTGAAATGGAGATAGGATGGTAGTTTTCGACTTCTGATGCTGAATATTTTTTATACATTGGAATTAATTTTGCAATTTTTTAATTGATCAAGAAATATCACTTTCAGAAATAAACTATTTAGGTTGTGATACTAGTTCATCATGTGTGCAATCTGCGAGTTTAGACACGTTTACAATGAACACCATCAACGGTCAATTGCATTTGCAGTACCTAATTTGAATAATTTCATCTGATATGCCGTATTAACATTATAGCTAATACGCACGACATAAAAATCGATTGGTACTCTATATGAATTGACGCATTATACAGGTATCAATCGTCAGAATAATACACATATCCAATCACGAGAAAGCTTGCAATTCACTCCCACTCTTTTTTATTATAGCATCTGCAGTGTAATATTCCCAGTGCTCACATTATATTGCTCGAACTAAGTATGATGTCATTTGTGAGTGTGAAAATGTAATTCATTACACGCCGCAAGCTAACAGTTGTTATTAACCATTTCAACAGAAATGGTGTGTGTCTGTGAATTACATAAATGGAATATAGATATAAATTAAATTCAGACGGGAGAGCGTTTATATGTATTTTAGTGCACAATTTCATTGTCATATTCATGTTGCGAGACACGATTAGTGCATAACAACCGACAATATTATTGTTACATACATTATGTTGTTAAGAGTATAAAAATAAATTCTTTGGCACGTTTCTCGTATAACCATGAATTGAATTTACGGCTAAATGTCAGGCGAGTGACTGTTGCAAATGTCCAGTCGTTCGTTTATAAGGTAACAATGTCTGGAAAATTATAGTTACGTGACTAATGAAGTAATTCAAATAATACTGCGTACCTATGTATTCTTTGCTTCATAAATGCGCGCCTCATCTCGGTTTCCATGCAACTGGAACGCCACTTATATAACTACAGTTACCTGGATTTTACGTGGAACATTATTAAATTTTGAATATTAATAATACCACAAATATTATTTTTTGCGAGCATGTGTATAAGTGGTTGTTGACGTAAACATTTGAAACATGTGTGTGCTCTATCCTAACGATGCTGAAGAACAAACTCAGGAAGCACCCTAATAATCCCCTTAAATATGACATGAGTTATTATTATCGGTGTCCATGGGAATAAGACATCCACTCACGCAAACACAAATAAATATAGACGCAAACACAAATAAATATAGATGCAATTTAAATTCGTAATCGATGACTATCTGGCATCGAAAAATAATTTGATGTGGTGGATACGAAAAAGGGACACGCAGTGTATATTACTGAACACAGTGCAAATAATTAGTTTGGATTTATTACAGCAAGAGTCACATCACCATTCACAAGTTTCACATTATGCATAACATACAGCAAATATGAAATAACCATTGAAAAAATCACAAAAAGCAATTGACACAGTGCGCGTCACATTGTTATTTGTCTGATTTCAGAAGTGGTCATTCGGTCGATGAAGGCGGTGAATATATCTGATATTAAATATAGATACAATCATTTATACGGAAGAGTATCGTCTAGCACGTACAACCCCGCGATTTTAATGAAAAACTGATTCTTTGTCAGGTGATCCCCGCATGCAGTAATTTGATAGTATTACGGCGAGTCGATCCGAATCTCTCACAATTCTTCATTTTGACTCAAAGTATATGTACGAGTTCACTCGAGTGAGTAAACGTCGTAATTGTTTTCCGTCTTTATTTTTTTGCAAACAAGACATTGTTTGTATGATTGAAAACACAATCAGGTATAAGATACATACACTGGAAGTCACACTTATAACTGGGATCCAAGCGTTTCTTTATTTTGATCGTAAATTGTCAAGGGTATATATTGAAAGTCGTGCAAGGTTATTTTAAATTTAAAAAAATCAACTGTGTCAGAATACATTACGTATTCTATAATGGCATCGAGTGAAATTGCTGCTTACCTTCTGGCATATGACATTTTTATAACCCAAGCTTCGTGTCAGGTATTCTAATTTCCGAACATTATAAGATACAGAACGTGGAGGAAATGAGTTGTAAATGGATGTTAATACTGCTGCAGATGCCCACTGAACGTTCTATAATCTATTATACCATATGCCTCTTGTTATCTTGATGGTCCAAACAAAAGATTTGATTGAAAGAACATTTCGTTAATGGACAAGTGAAACCTCAATGCCGCACCTGTTACCATGACATCCGTCTCCATCGTAACGCATGGCAACCTCGGGTTATTTCGTCGCTGGCAAGATAACGTACAACAGTTTCAGATGTTTATTTTTCAATAGATAATAGACCAGTCCATTGTAGTTGTGTTTTCGTGTGATATTACTCATGCATTCAGTTAATTCAGTTCAACAAAAGACTCCACAGGTTGTGATTACACATCGAACTGAAGCATGTATAGATACAATTAATTTGCCTGGTTTTTTCAGAGCAAGTAGGTCAATCAGTGAAAATATTCTTGAAAATAAGAGTCCCCGATATAAACTAAGACTCTATTATATAACCAGTAGTATATCTCTAAAAGATGAGCATATTATATGATTGATAGCTGAATTATCT